TGTTGAAATGTCAATACTGCATGATCACCCGCTTTACATCCTTTTTTCTGTAAATAATTTGCTACTGTGGCAATTTTATTTGATAATTTTTTCCAAGTAAGAACTTTTGTTTCTTTGCCAGTACGATCTATTAATTTGTAAGAATCTTCATCTGGCAACGCCTGACATCTCCATAATAAGACATCGACTATACTACGAAACTTTAACATGTTAGACCCGGAACGTTCGTCTATAACTTCTTGAGGAATCTCTACTCTCGTTACTTGTGGGCGACGTATTACTGATAATTCTTTAGTAAGTTCTTGCCTAGCCGTTGAAGAACCTAATTACGCAAAAAAAAATGTATAAGTAACACATTGAATATTAACAAAAGATAATTTTCTTGTCGTTTCTTAAAATATATCTTGCTTACTTGGTCCCCAAACACCGGTAATACTATCCTCACCAATTGGAAGATCAATGATAGTATCTGCAACATTCATTTTAACATGCATAACACTTAATTTTCCATACTCAAATGCTTTCTTACATAACATGGGATTTAATAATTTTTTGCCATTTTTCCAAAATCTTGGCAACGTTCCTAATTGACATATTGATACACAATATAACTTTAAATCATGAATTGATTCGATAGCTTCATATATGTTGTCCCCAAGTTCTGGAAGACGTTCAAGAGAAAAATTGGTTTCGGCTATTAAAACCGTTAAACTTTGATCATTAATATAAATTTCTATCACGGTGCTGTTAATATATATGTCAAATAAATGAAAACATAAATTAGTAATTTCTAAAATCGAATGTAGTTGAAATATTTAATTATAATAGTAATAATCATAACTATTAATATAAATAATAATTATTAAAATAATCATTAAATAATAAATAATAAATAATAAATATTGAATATTGAATATTGAAAGAATAACTACATATCGACGGATTTGCAGAATTGAACTTAAATTAGAGTCCGTAGATTTTAACAATGTAATTGTAAACCAGATCCAAAATTTGACATTATGCACCCTGCATATTATATACATTGTTAAATCCGGTGACTCTAATTTACAAATCTGTCGATATGATCAAATAATTATTAAATGAGGCGGCATCAATCGAGATTAAATAAATAGGTACACAAGATTAATTGTAACATGGTATTTGTAACAACTGAGTATAATAAATTATTAATCAACGATACCCACAATTTTTTAGTCTTAATTGCTACATTTTGATTGACGAACCCTCAAATGATGAACCACTATTATATGAGTGTCGCCAGGTGAAAACCGGCAATTCTAAAAATAGATTTATTATGAACCTTTAAAATAAATCTATTTTTAGAATTGCCGGCTTTCCTTCGCGATACTCATATTATTATTATTATTATTATTATTATTACTATTATTATTACTATTATTATTATTATTATGCCGTTATATCA